AAAATCTGCGGCGGCCTCCCGCATTATAAACAGAGCCATTTTTTGATGTGATGTGATTTGTTAATTTATGCGTAAGTAATTTCTGGATAGTCCTGCTGTATATTAATAAACCTACTAGAAATTACCACTAGTCTTGCTGAAGTTATTCTTGTGAGGTCACTCAAAAAGGTGAGGAGGTTGTAGACACGCATGCGCAGATGTGGGTTGGCACATGATGTTTGTGTTTGGGTAAACCCAATATACACAAATCTATCCAACCCAAAAACCTACATTTCTCCCACAAATTGGTGACCCCGACGTGATCTCACGAGGGTAATTAGGCAATATTGATTAGTTTTGGTGTAACATTGCCTCATCGGACCCGGTCGTGTCACTGCTCTGCGTAATTTTGTTAACGCTTATGTTGACAACCGAGTCGTGACCAGAAAACGCACCTGGGTGCCAGCTGGGAGTTCTTACTGCCGGTCGTGGGGGGCTGTTAGGCATATAAGCTTCCCGACTTTGCGCGGCAGTGACGCAAATATGCGGTCGCGCAAGCGGAAGCGCAAGTTTGCGCGACGCGGCAAATTACTGCAGAGGCCACGCCGGTACCATCATGTCATCTCGGTACTCGGTCAACCCAGGAAATCGCACAGGAGGTGCGGCGATCTCCTGCTGAATCCGCCGGCTACCAAGGCCCATATTCAATGCTGAAAGGCAGATGATTTTTGCCACACGCGCTTCGGAGGCAGCGTCGCGTCCAACTGTCCTTACAGAGGAAGACGCTTGGTGAACGCAAAACCGCTCCCGCAGCTTTTGCCCGCCGCATGAACAACTTGTTGTTGGCGAGACAAAAGAATCGGACAAGGGCATACATGAAAGGCAACTGTTTTCTACAAAGGTTTGCCTGCCGAAGTTCGTTTGATTCTTGCTCAACAAGGACGGCGACATCGCTCTCATTGAGGTGACTGGCCGAGCTCGCGGACAAAATTATTTGACCGTCTACGTTCCAAGCCATAGGGATTGTGTCGGCGATGAGCAACTCGCCCTGCCTTTTGCCGCGCCGAGGAACAACGCGGTGTTCGCACAGGTCTGCCACAGCAACAGCCCCGATGCAAACGAAGACTTACGGTCAAGACATACCGTAAGCTTCTTTAAGATGTGTGCGGGACTTTACAATTACAGTGGGCCGATATCACAGCGCAACTAGTAGTCTGTGAGTCGGCGGTAAGTCGCATCGGCGCGGCAGTGGGACTGCACACATGGGCTGATCCAATGGGTGTGTTTACCATGAACGGATTTGGAGATAGAGCAACCGAATGCGGATCTCATGCGCGGCGGTCGTCCGAATTGTCGAAAAAACGGCAAGGCACAGTCGGTAGGGCCGACGACCCGCACTGGTGCGCACTGCAGTCGCCTATTTTACTTCACAGATTTTTCTCGCAGGCAATTCTGGGCGTACTGCGCGCTGCCAGTGAGCGTTTTCCCGCCTTTTAGGCAAGAGAGAGGAATGGATGTTTGGCGGGCTTGAACTTGCAGCTGCGAATGGGCACCCATTTCCTACATGCCGGCCAACGCTTGTGGACCTAGGGTTTAGGCCTGCGTCGAACGCTGCCGCTGATTTTACCATCGCGCAATGTCCCTACAGACCGATCATAGGCGCGGATTTCTTGCACCATTTCATTTCCTCTGTGTCCGATCTGTCAACAGACGTCGACTCGTCGATGCCCGCTGACCAGTTGGCTCCGTAGTCCCATGGGCAGCCCGTTCGATTGTCCGCGCGTCGCTATCGGCGGTTAGCGGAGACCGTGATTCCGACACTACTTTGAGCACATGCTCAAACGTATTTCGGGGATAAAACCCGTCCGGTGAGTATCATTCCGACGACCGTAAAGCACGATGTAACACTCACGATACGAAACGAACGGACCCGCCTGTTGCAGCGACGGTCCGCGGCAGAGCCTAGTCTGGGACAAACTGTCAAATCGTCACGCACGGACGAATTTAAGACCATAGTGCTGGACCTAGGGCATTTCGGCGCGTTTAAAGTAACTGGTCCTCGCCGTTGCATATGGTGCGAAGAAAGTCCCCGCGCGTGAATGGCGTCCGTATGTGTGTGATTACAGTTACTGTCGGCGCAACGTGAACCGAGTGACGCGTAAACGACCGTTATCGCCGTTCCGCATCATACAGGATTTCGCATCTGGACTTCACAGCAAGAAAATTTTTGCAAATAGATCTTGTCAGGGGCGTATATTCAGATACGCGTGGAGCGGTGAATGTGCACAAGACGGCCATCACACCTCCGTTCGGGTTTATTCGAAGTTTATCCGAATGCCTTTCGGATTGTCGCCGTGCGCCCGCGCCGACTTTCAGCGTTTATCGACAAGGTATTTTGCGCGATTGCCGGTTTGTTAACGCGTATATAGACGACTTGCCTGGTCGGCATCAAGGCAACATGCAGCCAGACGAGCAAGCCTATTTGCGCTTGCTGTTCACCGCTTACACAATCGGGTGTCGCTGGTGAACCCGAATAACGTGCTCATTCGGTTGTGCTGAACTCGATTTCCTCGGCCCACCACATTGATCAGGACGGCATTAGCCCTCTGCCGGATAAGGTAGAACGCTATCCGCGATGTGCAGGTTCGCCACATCCCTCAAGCGCCTAAGAGGCTTCTTGGGCCTCGTTCATTTCTATCGGAGATGTTATCCCCGACTGCGCCAAAGACGCTTATGCCTCTAACGATCTCCTCGGTAAGCACAGCAAGCGTGTCGAGGAAAGCTCTCGACTTGTGACACCGAATGCGACCGCAGCGCATTCCATTGCGATTCAAAGAGCAGTTGAGCGCGCGGCGCCACTGCTAACTCGCATACCCCAACATAACGCGCGCTCAGTCTCATGGTAGACGGGCATTCTGATCGGGCTACTAGGCGGAGTTTGTGCAACAAACTTCACGGGTACGCCCTGGCAGCCGGATCGGCGTTCTGTTTCACGCAAATTGTTGCCCGCTGAGACGCGCTTACAGTACATTTGGTCCGCGATAACTTTTGCCCGTGTACTTAGCTATCAAAGCATTTCGGCGTACATGGCTTGATGGACGCAATTCTGTGTATCACGGACCACAGCCGCTGCATTCACTCATTCTCGGCGCTAGGCCCGATTGCCACAGCGCCCGCCGAAATCCGGCATCTCGAATACAATCATCACAGTTTACGGAACTGATTTACGTCATGTTAAAGGGCACGACAATGTCGTTGCTTGATTATCCTAATCGGGACCCCGAACTGAACACCTTGACATTGCATTGCCATTGACCCGACACGTCGAGTCGATTTCGGGAGAGATCGCCACGCTCAGCAGAGCGATGCTGATTTGGTCAGTCGCTCTGATGATTCTGACACGAGCCACTAGGTTTGGGCTCCGCAACAGTACCATTGATTTCTACGTGGTGAATTTTTTTCTGTGACGTATCAGGCGAATACAACCGGCCTGTCATACCGTCTGCACACCGGTCGCCGCCGTGTTCAACTCGAGTACATTGGTTATCACACCCTGGTGTACGCGCGGTCCGTGGAAAGCCGTCACTCTCGTTTCGATGTGGCCCGCATGAACAAAGATGTCCGGAGATGGGCCACAATGCACGTCATGCCAAAAGTCGAAAAGTATTTCGACACACGGGAAGGCACGCTGCGCCACATTCAGTGCGGCCCGATGCGCGATTTGCGCATGTGCCACATTTGACTAGTTTGGTCCGCTGCCCACATCAAACGGTAGCCACTTACTGTTGACCTGTGCGTTGGACGATACACACGATGCGCCGGAAAGCTATTCCGATACCCGACCAGACTGCTGAAACAGTCCGCTCGCGACCTGCGTGTTCGTTGATAGGTGGATAGCCTGTGTTTGGAGCACCCCGACACCGATCACCACCGACCGTGGCCGTCATTTGAGTCTCGCGCTATTTCACGAAGCTAACCTAAATCTTGGGACCATACTCGTGTCGGACTACGTCTTAATCATCCTGCGCAAACGGGATGGTAGAGAGATTTCTCACCGACAATTGAAATCGCTTCTCAAGCGCATGAAGACCCAGCCAAACACCTGGAGTGAGCACTTTGCCGCCTAACGCTCCTTGGTGGGACGCCACCACGGTAAAGGAGGATTTAGACTGCTCCCCAGCTGAAACTTGTCTTTGGCACAACTCTGCGCCTGCCCGGACAATTCATTGTCCAGCTTACAAACTGACCTTGATCCTTGTGATTATGTATTCCCGCTTTGAGACACCACATGCTGAAAATGCAAGCTGCGACCCCAACAAGGCTGACCAATGGGCCACTTACATCCCGAAGAATTCTTTTCAAGCTTCGCACAGTCTTCATCCGCAGATGACACGGTACGCAAACCGTTGCAGCAACGTACAAAGGAGCCGTTCAAAGTCGCTAAGAATGCGGAACAAAAAAGTTCTTTCACCCTCGCCCCTCCCCCCCAAATACGCGGAAACGTGAGCAAGTCAGTGTGGACCGACGTACAAGGTCCGCGTACAGGGGAAAGCGCTTTGAAGCGAATGACCCTGGCCACGCGCCTGCGATATAATCCGCGCGCAGTCGGTGTGAGAACCTGCAACGGCCTGCAGGCGAGAGCAGGGGACGAACCGCCCGCTAGCGCTGGCAGGAACGCAAATTTAACGCTGGCATCAGCGCCACGTTCTGACACACCATTCCGCCGTCGACAACGCAGGTCAGGCCGACAGTCAATGCG